CAATTAGAGGTCTAAGGTCCATGCCAAAGGTCAACCATGGCTGAATCGATCCTATCACCATGATCCTTTGATTCTTCTAATTATATTTCACTCCATGGGTATAGGAAAGGAATATATTGTTTTATTTTGCTTTTTCCTCGGGCTATTTTTTCAAATAGATGATTTTCCCCATTTCTGGGCTAACTGAAATTTGGTAAATGGATATATAGAAAAAGGACATTCTACGTGAGACACGGGTGTTTATTACTTTAATCTATACAGGCCTTAAGAATTGTTTTATTGCTTTTTCACACCAAAAATGTATATTTCGGGCTCCTGTGTTGTGGTATTATCCTTTAGTATCACTTCAAAATGATTTCTTTTAGGATTTGGGACGAATGTACAGAGCCTGTGGCATGTGTTTTGCATGTTTAACCATCAGAAATATATATGTTTTGTGTGTTTGATATTTGGAAAGCGCTAGCTTAAGGCCTACCGTATTTTCCTTTCACAATGACCATAATGCTCAAACTACCACATATAATACGTATAATATAGTATAGTATAGTATAGTATAGTATAGTATAGTATAGTATAGTATAGTATAGTATAGTATAGTATAGTATAGTTTTGTACAGTATAGAGGCTTTTCATTTCATTATATGAATCCCCTGCGACCATGCTAGTGGGTAATTGGATTACCAGCATCATGCTTAACGGAAGCACACTGTAATCCAACATGGCGCAAATGACGTCATATGAAAATCCTATATTGGCTTATTTTGTCCACCTTTATAAAACATTTCCAGTCTTGTTAGATGAATAAGGTTCTATTGAATGCAGATGCCTGCCAGCCATAACTACTAAACAAAGGCCAGACATCGCATATCGACGTCTGCCCGTACATAATTACGTTAATTAATAGCCTTCCGGTCTTGGTGACTTCAACGATTTTTTTTTACATTTTCATTGCTTTTATTGAAACAAATGTTATGTACAGCTTGAAGCTTTGCGAAATGTTTGGATGAATTTCAGGCACTGACTGGTAACTTTCAGGAAGAAGAATATGTTTCAAGCAATAGTTGAGGCGCCCGATTAGTTTCCAGAATGGCTCACGTTGCAAGGACAAAATGTCAAACATTTCCACTTGCACACAGCCGGTATCTCTGTCTTGTCATGTTCACTGTCGTAGAACATTCTTTTAATCTTGTTGTCATGTTTTATTTTACAACCCTGGGATACCCATGCTGAATTCCTTGTGTTAGATAATAGAACATGTACTTTACGCAATCATGATAGATGGCAGTTTGTGAAGATACTGATCCAGTGGATAAACTTAAAAGGTTACACTTACACTCCGCCATATATATTTGATGCAAGTCTGATGTGGCTCGTGTACCCCCCACTGAAATATCAATGTCAAAGTTTGATGTTGTGAAAGTAGAGTATATAATGTGTGACGATTGCAGCTCACAGAGAACAGGTTGTACGAATAATTCCATGGACGTTGCTCGTACAACCTCACCACAAGTTTCATCCAGATGTCCATGCATTATGTATGTTGTACGTCCTGTTCCCAATCTTTGAATATATCTAATAAGGAGCAGGATAATTCTAATTCTAATTATTTTGATTCTTAAAACTTACAGCTACAGACATTTTTACATTGACACATATCTTTCTGTAAGCAGTACGTTTTGTCGTTCGAATTGGGCATATTATTTTTCACAATCAAAACCGCATACTCCTTGTCCCTTGCATATTCCACAGACTTCCCATTGCCTCCACATTACCATTGGAGTTCTTTGACCGCCCGCATCCTCCAACGCTGTTTCAAAAAATGCATATGAAGCTACAAAAAGGTCTTCAGAGGAAGCGCTCTTTGCAGACATGTTGGAGACACGAGGTCCCCAGTCAACCGGCTGTTTTTGACTTAATAGTCGTTTGCCGGTCTGAGGGCTTGTTGAGTGGGATCCCTACAGGGTTAGTGAGTGGTATCCTTATATCACTAGTACCACGCTAGTAATATAAGCTATAGACAATTCTTTGTAGGTTATTTAGCTGGAGGGATTCAAACTATTTTAGCAGTACTATTTGACTTTTTGACAATACGTTGGTCCACCAATACTGATAATTCCAAACAACTTCTTTTCTATCAACTGATGGATTAGCAATGCATTGTGATGAGTCTTTAACATTGTATGTTAGCCAGGCCTGCGTTGATGAAAAGTTGTTTACGTCTTATCGGTCCTAATCTAACTTTAACACTCTTATTTGCAAATGTCACCCCGCCTGAGGCCTCTCTGTGTGTTTTACCGGGACACCTCTGAAAGTCCAATAAAATCTTACGACTTCTCTGCGTCGCCTCTAGCAGGGTGCATTGGCGCCATGGGTGTACCAAACTACCAAACTCCGACAACGGGATAATGCTACAGTGCTTGTGTACTACCTTATGGGAGGAACATTTCATTTACAAAAGGAGTCATTCTGCTTCAACGTGCTTTTTGTTGTTTTATAACATATCAAAGAAAAGTGACTCATGGATGTCAAAATCCCTCGGTTTGATCAATTGTATCATTTTGGTCCGTGGACTAATAACTATTCCTGGTGAACCGACCTACTCCCCTTTTAAGACAGAAAATTGCCCTCCGTGGGATTACCCAGTAATAAGTCAGGTCTTTGGGACGACCTATGGTGCGTGATAGGTGGTGGCTGGGAATGCTGCTGGACGGGATATCATATGGCTAAGGGTCATCGACCTATTTCCTATATGTCCTATACATAATTCAGCAGAGTTGTACGTTTAGGGGGGCTTGAAGCAGAGTCGTCTTCGTGAGGCCTTAAGAACCTGCCAGGCGTAGAAGTGTAGAGCACAGCTCCGTCGTGGCCACGTTCTATTAGTGGAGTGGCTGGGTCTGCGATGATGATACATTATTTTACCTGCTAAGTGAAGACGTAAGTACATTTACCATAACCACCTTAACAGGATCTACGACTGGGCTTTTGGAAGAGCCTTTATAATACACTTTTTTTCTTTCTGGTGTATCACTTCTATTTGTATGAATAGAAGTGATATATCAGAAAGAGAAAATGCGTATTATAAAGGCTCCCCAACAAGCCCAGTCGTAGACCCTACCAAGGTGGGTAAACTTGCTCAACTTTCCCTTTCAACTATGCATTCATAATCAGGCGTATAACTTTGAGGGAAATTCGTTTTTTTAATTTTCCCATAGCCTTGCATATGGCTGTATTGCCACTTGCGCTGGTCTCCCCCCCCCCTCCCGAGTCATATTCCAAGTCAGTTTGATCATTAGGATTTTTTATCTACCGTTTTAACCTACCCACTGGCAGTACTAATCTCCAAATTTCAACTGAAGGAACATGTCCAAATGGGATGTAGATTAAAACGAACATAGTGCTGGCAAGATGCTCTTGTGTTTAGGGTTGCTAACTAAGAACCAGACGGTTTTAGGATTGAATCCCTGGCCCTTTGTTGTGTCCTTGGAAAACGCACTGTACTCTTGAATCCCCACTCGACACAGGTATAAATGATCACCTAGCTTTTGTTACTTGCTGTACAAAACTGGTGTTTTACGCCTAAAGGCGCGGTTTTAATACCGGTTATACGAAACCACAAAGGGACAACACGTCTCTTCAATCATCTAGATCTGTATGGAGGCATGTAATTACAACTGATAAAAGCTCCTAACGTCACTGCACGAAATTGTATCCTTAGGCACGCCTTCAAGCATGAAACTTTAAACGGAACCTTTACGCATGCTTTAAAGTATGGTCAAAGATGTAATATATTGAATGTATTTTGTGCAGTGCGTCAGAAGCAATATAGGCATTATTAAAAATTTAGGTATTGTCTTGGGTATGTCTGTGTGTGTTTCTTCATTTTTCCAATCTTGTATTTTTAGTTGTTCTGTTTTAAGGAATACGGTCAGTTCGTCCCTGTTTGAAATACGCACGACAATTTACTCAAAATGTCAGAGGAAAGTTCAACGATTATTGGCCTCAATCCTATCATGCGGTGAAGCGCAGGTGTCATGTGAGACACGGAATGTGCGAGGTTGTGCTGCCGGCGCTGTTGAATGTAATTGCCCCTCATATTCTTCTCTTATCTGCTGCACATGTGTCCCTATTCGAAGACCGAACAGCCGTGGCATATAGCTAGTAGACGGTATGCTTTGAAGGTTAGGTGTTATGTGCGTTATATAAGTTGGGTGCGGTGATTTGTAAATTGTGATAACTGCAGGTATGGTTTATGTATCCTAATGATGTTTTGTAAGTAGGTTGGGGCTAGGACAAGCAAGATCAGGGTCAATCATAACCATCCTAGTGGCTTTTTACGGTACTGCAGTGGTACTCACAGGTTTGATATCTCGTGTTCTGGACATGTTATGGAACATTGCTGTTAGTTGCGAGTCACCACTGACTCATACTTTGCTTCCCAATGATACAGAAACGTATGATAGCAGTGTGACATTTCACGTCTAATTTGTCTATCGTCGGTGCAACCCATCACGTCCTGAATGCTACTAATTTCCCCCTCATTGCCCTTGACATTTGAAGCGCTTTCAGGTTGTCTGTGCCATAGGTAGCGTTGTCTGAGGTAGACTTGCTGACACAAGTCCTTTACCTTCTCATTTTATTTGACTACAAAAATCAACACAATCCATGCAGTCTACTGGGGATGATTATAAGTCCATATTGGCTGGGCGACCATGTCACAATGATAACTTTTCATTCATTCATTCATTCATTTGATAGATTGATGGAATATTTATATTTTCATTTCAGAGAACACGTACACAATCATATAGAAGAAGATAACATTAATTTCTTTGTGGAGGGGCTTCAAAGAGGTGTTTGCAGAGTGCATGACAACAGGAGAGTAAATCCGAGAGGTGTGTGTGTGTGTGGGGGGGCTGTATACGGTATCAAATATGCTGAATATCCTTTAACTGGATTAAATGTAACGTATCCATGGATCTCCTAGAGCCCCCGCGAAACTCCTAGATCCTCCACAAAGTAATTCCCAGAATTGACCTTTAGTCTTGCCAATATAAATACCTACCCACGTATCAAACATCATCATAAACACAGACACACAGGTGGACACACGGACACACCAAATACAATGCCTCCATTTTTCACAAACCGAGGTAACAATAATAGATCATGGTGAGGTGCTGAGGTGCCAGACCTTCTGAAAGCTATCGTTTCTATCTTTAGCTGAACCACACATCCTGTTCATTTCCTCCACGGGTCCTTAACGTATCCTTCAATAGGATCTGACAGCCAAGGTTATTTACAGTCTCGTGTGTCCATTAAGCCTTCAAGCTGGGTATTGGAAGTGAGAGGATGTTGCGAATGCGTAACGTATGCAGTTAAAGGGCACAGAACGAACTTGTGGATAAGGCCCCCATGGTATTTACGGATCCACCAACCTTTCACAGTTCATGAACATCAACACAGAACAATCTTTGGAAAGGTAGTCCTGTTCATAAAAGCAGATATATAGAAAAACAATTTGCATTAGTATCGTTGAAAGACGCAGAATTAAAGCACTGACGCCGTTGTGTGAACCTGGTAGTTATGATATCATAAATAGAATCCACAGAAGATGGCAGATCCTGTTACTGGTAGATTCAATAACGGTTATCCTTGATATACGTCAGACGAAGCAATCTACACGACAGGCTTACTGGGAGATAAGATTCAGCATAACGAATATATTCACCGTATCTTAATGTCATGTCTGGTATTCCCCGCTACAGAATTCCAACAACACACCAGAAGCAGATCCCTCCAAGATGGGCAACGCCAGCGGGAAAAACAGGAAGAAGAGGAGAACGCGGAAGGAGCTGGAGGAGCTGGCCAGCGTCACGGAGTTTGACGTGGTGGAGATCAAACAGTGGTACAAGAGCTTCCTGAAGGACTGTCCGAGCGGACAGCTCACCGTGAATCAGTTCGTTACGGTCTACAGTAACTTCTTCTCCACGGGAGACGAGAAGAGTAAGGAGAAGATGGCGCGACAGGTGTTCCGCAACTTCGACAGAGACGGAGGAGGCACGGTGGACTTCCGCGAATTCATCTGTGCCATGAGCGTCATGTCCAGGGGAAGTACCGAGCAGAAGCTGAAATGGGCTTTCAACATGTACGATCTGGACGGCAACGGGACCATTTCAAAACGAGAACTACTGGAAATCATTACGGTATAAGACTTCCACCTGCTAGAAGTAGTCTCATGCATGTGAAATAGCGGACCAAATGCTAATTTGCATGAATAAGTTAGCTGGGGTTCATGATGGTTAACTGTTACATATCACATAACTAAGACAGAAAGGAGCATCAATACCAACTATTATTTGAATACTTAAAATGCGAAAATGTTAATTTTAGTTGTTGTCTATAATTAATTAACTATAGACTAAGTTATGGCATCAGCTCTTCCTGATAGCAAGTAACTTTCATTGAAAATGCCAAAACAATATCTTTCATGATGCTCCTATATAAATGTATGTCAATACAACAGCAATTTGATTTGGCAATACATTCTAAATACGTCATTCAAAACCTTACAGGTAGTGTTCAACATGAAAGAACGCGAGGTAAAGAAGCTTCCCGAAGACGAGTCCTCGCCTGAAAAACTGACAGAAAAGATCTTCAGCGAGCTGGACACTGACCAAGATGGCGAACTGAGTCTGAAGGAGTTCCTGGAGGGAAACAAGAGGAACCCTTCTATTATGAAGCTCATGCAGCCAGGACCATGAATACCTTATATAGTGTATATAGTAATATTTAACATTTGGTAGCCGCGTATCTGACTAACCCACT